AATAGAATAGAATAGAATAGAATAGAATAGAATAGAATAGAATAGAAATTCTTTATTGGCCAAGTGTGATTGGACACACAAGGAATTTGTCTTGGTGCAAATGCTCTTGGTGTACATAAAAAGAAAAGATACATTCGTCAAGAGTCAAGAATCAAACCTGCTCAATAATGCATAGGGGCTGCAGATTTTTATTTTATTATTTTATTTTAAAGCCAAACTGCAATTACAGTCCTAGTATCAGGGATCCAAGATTCCTGAGCACCCAACCACAGGTAGTCCTTGACTTACAACAGTTTGTTTAGTGACCGTCCAAAGTTACAAAAGCACTGCAAAAATGACTGTTTTTTCACAGTTATGACCTTTGAAGCATCCTCATGATCCTGTGATCAAAATTCAGATGCTTGGCAACTGGTTCATACTTATGACCGTAGCTGTGTCCCAGGGTCATGCGATCTCCATTTGTGACAAAGTCGATGGGGAAGCTAGATACAGATACAGATTAACGGAGTTGGAAGGGACCTTGTAGGTCATCTAGTCCACCCTTCTGCCCAAGCGGGAGACCCTACACCATTTCTGACAGATGGAAGTCCAGTCTCTTCTTGAAAGCCTCCAGGGATGAAGCTCCCACAACTTCTGAAAGCAACTTCTGTTCCATTGGTTGATTGTTCTCACTGTCAGAAAATTCATCCTTATTTCTAGGTTGAATCTCTCCTTGTTCAGTTTCCATCCATTATTCCTTGTCTGACCTTCGGGTGTCTTGGAAAACAGCTTGACCCCTTCTTCCTCCCTGTGACAGCCTCTCAAATATTGGAAGACTGCCAGATTCACTCAACAACAGGGTTACTAACTTAATAACTGCAGTGATTCACTGCAGGCCAGAAACTATGCCCAGAAAGGTCCTAAAATGGGACAAAACTCACTTAACAAATGCTTTATTTAACAACAGGAATTTTGGACTCAGTTGTGGTCATAAGTTGTATATCTCCAGCAATATTGTGGCAAGCGTTCTCTGCACAGGGAAGAGTTTACTGTTTAATTCGTGAGTTTGTTAGCAGAGAGAACAAGATTCTGAGGATCTCGTATCCACCGTAAAATCAATTAAAACTGGTTTAGGAACGCTTGTTCTCTGACAAAGTCCTGGCATGTGATTTTTTGAAACCTCGGTTTCAAAGACAGCAGAATTGATTAAACACCTTCAGACACACATCCACGCATTCTTTCTGCTTAACTGGTTGTGAATTGCTTGGCGTGAAATGTTCTACCTTCCCCTCCTTTTTTTTCTCATTCTTTTCTATTTTTTTCTTTCCCTTTCTTTCAAGTAACGTGGATACCAAGGAGTTGTGTGGTGAGTACCTTTTCTGTCTTGATTGCACAATGAATGCCGGTCTCCCATTTCTGATTGTAATACAGGATTGGCCAACTTTTGACAACTTTAAGGGATGTGGACTTCAACTCCCAGAATTCCCCAGCCAGCCTTGCTGGCTGGGGAATTCTGGGAATTGAAGTCCACAAGTCTTGAAGTTGCCAAGGTAGGACACCCCTATTTTAACAGCCAGCAGTGGCATTTTGGCAGGGTGAGGATCAAAACAGGTGTGGCATCCCAGTTCAGGCCCCACCCCTTTGTACCTGTCTGTGCCTATAGAACAGGGATAGGGCTGGAATTGTTATGCTGTACTCTTAACTTTCTTCTTCCTTCTGAATACCACTGGCGTGCACTGGAAAGGAATATATGCACATATTGTGCTGTAGAACTCCAGGTATCGTCTTGGCATGTTAGGTGAAATAGACCAACATTGCGGCAACTGTCAGGTGGGAGTGACAGGCAAACAGGTGAAACAAACAGATGAATTTAAGCATGAGCCAGCAGTGTGTTGTAGCTGCAAATAATAACAATAACAATAACAACAATAATAATAATAATAATAATAATAATAATAATAATAATAATAATAAATAATAATAATAAATAATAAATAATAATTAATAATGACAACGACAACGACAACGACAGGAACAGGAACAGGAACAAGAACAAGAACAGGAACAGGAACAGGAACAGGAACAAGAATAATACGGATGCATCACCAGAAAGATCACATGAAGTGATAGTACTGCTTTACACCGCATGGGTGAAACCACACTTGGAGAATTATGTTGAATTCTGGTCACCGTGATATAAAAAAGATGTTGAGTTTCTCGAAAGAGTGCAGAGAAGAGCAGCAAAGATGATTAGGGGCAGGACTTCAAAAAAAATTAGCAACAGATTCTCTGTCTGGTTGCTGGGTGGATGTGGCCATGGTGGGTGTGGCCTAGTCAGCCTCCTGCACCATGTCAGGGTGCGGGCGATGTTTTTGCCCTCCCCGGGTTCCGGAGGCTCTCTGGAAGCCAATAACTGGCCCATTTCCAGCCTTCCCGAACTCCCAGGAGACCCATTTTTCACCCTCCCTGAGCCTCTGCGTGCGCCCTGCACTGACCTGCATCCAAAACAGGCCGTGTGTGTGTGTGGGGGGGCTCCTGGGATGGGAGGGGCAGGATGGGCGGGGCCAGCCAGGAGTGGGATTTGGGGTTTCTCCGAACTGCACAGAATCTTAGCTAGGGGGGGGTCTCCCGGACCCCTGCGAACCCCTAGCAGCCCATCCCTGATTAGGGGACTGGAGGCTAAAACATACAATGAACAGTTGGGGGAACTGAAGCTATGAAACAGAAGGGTTAAAGGTGACATGATAGCACTCTTCCCATATTTTGAGGGGCTGTCACAGCGAGGGGGGGTCCATTTATTCTCCAAAGCACCAGAGGGCAGGACAAGAAGCAATGGATGGAAACTAATCAAGGAGAGAAGCAACCTGGAATTAAGGAGAAACTTCCTAAGAGTGGGGACAATCAAACAGTGGAACAGCTTTGCCTTCAGAAGTTGTGGGTGCTTCATCACTGGAGGTTTTTAAGAAGAGACTAGACAGCCACTTGTCTGGAATGGTATAGGGTCTCCTGCTTGAGCAGGGGGTTGGACTAGAAGACCTCTAAGGTCCTTTCCGACCCTGTTATTCTATGTCCTCAGCCTGTGCTTAAGGCTTCTAATGCAAGCCTAGATGTGATGACCCGGAGTGTAACACTAATGTAACAAAATCCAAAACGTAAATAAATGTCCTTTAATGCCTCCAACTTGGCCCCACTGTTCAATAATTCTCAGTTGGAGATAAATCGTATTCAAAAAGAAAGCAATACAGCCCGAACTTAATGAGCAGATAGAGGTGAAATAAAAAACCAAAACAAACTACAATGAAGGAATTTTCACAGCGGACCAGGATAAGTAATTATCATCTGCAAGGAGATAACAAGGCACAATCTGTTGGAAGGACGCCAACCAAAATAAAGCACATTTTGCTTCTGGCAAGACTGTGTTTTAACCGTCTCTCTTATATACTATTCTCCCCAGCTGCAACCAATGAGGGAGATCATGGCCGCTTCCTCTCTCGTAAGCCAAGTTGTTGCCTTCTCCGTTCCTCCCTGCGTGTCCTAGGATGAAGATGGTATGGGCCTGGTTCTTCCTCTGACTGCTCAGTCAGCCTCTGCCCTTCCCCAGCCTCCTCCACAACCTCTGGAGCCACACCTCCACTCCCTGTCGGCTGTTCCTCCTCTCCCTCAGAGTCCGACTCTAACAAGGGCATGACACTAGATTTGCAAAATGTAGCAAAAATAATGGTTTCCTAACCCCATTTCAGTTAGACAGATGGTTTAGAGAGCACCTTTGTCCAAATAGTGTTTTATTTCTGAAGGTTCCTGGCCATTGCAATGGGATTTGGGTCTAATCCTTTCCTGCAGAAGGATTGGATTTGTCCATTTCTCTTTTGAAGGCCAGCTCTGCACTGTGGTTCTTCTTCTCCTTTTTGTACTTGTTCTGTTATATGATGCGGGAAGCGACTACAGCTGATGAAAATGAGGCATCTGAGTTTTTATGAGCGGCGAACAGCTGAAGTTCACCCTGGCTGAGTGCAGCTGGGCACTAGTTAGAGCCGTTCCTGTCTCTCCTTCCATCCTGCGTTCTGTTCAAACCGATATATGGCATTTTAATTAAGCCCCGGGAGGCTAATTAATCATCTGTCTCTGGAGGTTATTTATAAGGAGAGGACTGTAAGACATGCCAGTTTGCGGTTAGGAATATGCTGGTGGTGACATCCCCTACAAGATTTTATTTATTTCTTTTAAAAATAAATGCCAATTTTGTTAGAGTTTGCAGCAGACATTCAAATCCAGAAAGCACACACAGATTCAGCAGGATTCATTAACTTCTTTATGTACATAATAACGTATTAAGTAAAGTTTACAATACCAGCGTGGCAGAGAGTTACAGGCAAGAACCCAGGCGGAGGAGAGAACAGCAGAGAACAGTTTCAGTTTTGATTCAGAGTTGTGGACTAGTTTGCAGCTTCAGAGCTCAGAGCTTAATACAGAGCCACGCCCAAGCTCCTTCCAGTTTCAGTTTCCAAACAGTCCTCATTGGCTGACTTAGTTGCTATGCCTATTTATTGGCTGACCTTGTTACCATGTCTCTGCCAGTTCATGAATATTCTGACAAATTTTTCTGGTTGGCCAAGAGTTGATTAGACAGAATGGACACCTTCAGAAGAGGGGACTGATAGTGTTCAAATTACAGGTAGTCCTTGACTTAGCCATAATGGAATCCAAAATTTATGTTGCTGAGTGAGAGATTTGTTGTGAGTTTTGCCCCCTTTTACGACTTGTCTTGCCAAGTTTGTTAAAGTGAATCCCTTTAAAGTGAAATTTTTGAAGCCCACCCCCGGTTACAACCCTCCCTAGGAGAAAATGCCAGCTTAAACTTTCAGAAGTAATCCTGATTCAACCTTGAAACCATCTTTGAAATGATCTGTTAATCTCCCCCCTCTTCCTTTTCTCTTCCCGGTCTCCAGATTACTTCGCTGAACACATGGGAGATTATGAAGATGTGTTGGCATCCCTGGAAACACTCAATCTCTCCATCCTGAAGGCCATGGACTACACAAAACGGGTGAGTTGTCCATAAATAGTTACAAACAATTTGTCCAACACTGGAAACTACCAGCTTGTGTCCAACAGAGAAAGGATTACCTTTTAGAACACAAAAACAAAATTGGCCTTAAGTAAATGTGCAATTAATCATAATTGTGCACCAACACAATCAAAAGAGGTAGCACTCTGATTAAAAACTCTCGGTAAACAAATAAATTAGCCCCTTACAAATCACTACAATTAAGCTGATGGAGTTTTTGTCTGCAATTCTAGGTTGTTAGAAAGGAAACCGCATTGAACTTGCTGATAATTGGTTTTTTCCAAAATGCATTCAGCTTGTGGAACGGGTTACGCTTTAGCAAGGTTGCGTTTTTCTCTCCCATTTGACATGCAAACAGCCTTGAAAAGAAGAGTTAGAATTCACCTTGGCATCTGAAGTCAGATTTCTGTTAAAGGATGAAAATGTCAAACAGAAAGTGGATTAATTTTCTTCAGCCCTGACTGTTGGTTTTTTTTCTCTGTGTTGATCTGTCCCAAATAAGAATACCGTGATTTTATTGAGTGAAAAGAACGGGAATGCAGTAAAGTCCAGGCTAACACACAATGCAGATTTTATTCTGATATGCCAGAATGCAGGTGGGTTTAGAATTAAAATCATGAAGGATGGCGACCATTGGGAAAAAAAATAGATTTTATACGGAAGTGTCATGCCCTGTAGGAGTCTGAATCCGAAGAAGAAGAAGAACAGCTGACAGGGAGTGGGAGGGTGGTTCCATTGGCTGTGGAGGAAACTGGGAAAGGGCAAAGTCAGGCTGGGCAAAGCAGGGGAGAGGTAGAACAAGGGAGAGGAGGTTCAGAGGAAGACCTAGACCCACCCCCTCTTTTTCCTAGGGCATGCAGGGAGGAATGGAGAAGGGAGCAACATGTGTTGTGGAGGAGAGGGCCCTGATTCCCTTCACAAAGTGCACCTGGGGAGGGAGTTTAAAGGAGAGGCAGTTTAGGAGGGGTGTTTGTCGGAAACAAACAATGAGTTTATCTCATGTTGGCTGCTGTTATGTGAGTTCCTAGCATTCTCCCAACTGGTTTGATTTACTTCTGTGTTAATTCACTTCTGGAACTCCTTATCTTGCCCTGCCAGATTTATTACCTTATCTTGTCTTGCTGAATTCATAGTTTAAAGTTTTCTGTTTATGATGTTTTGGATTGGAATATCTGTAGTCAAGGGCTGTTGCAGGTTCCTGGGAGAGTTTTTCTCCAGACCGGAAGGTAACTGGAACATTGGGGGCAAAGTTGGAGCTAATAAAGAGACCCCTACTTATTATTCTGGCTGTGTTGCCTTTGTGCTATGCCCTGGGTCATCACAGGAAGCTTGATGTATGATGGGAAATTTAAAAAGGAATGCCTCAGTTTTGGACAGTGTTCTGAGCATAAAAAGTTTATTGCATGCAAAACGAGATAATAACAAAGGCAAATTATATTCTTTGGCTAGTCATTTCTGAAAAATAGTTTCCAATTATGCCAAACAGCTGTTCTTAAACTTTGATCAATGCGTTGCTTTTTCTCTTTTCTCCTTGAAGAAATAAATTAATAAAGGGAAATGTGGATATTTTTTTTAATACAGCTCTGTGGGTTTTTTCTCTCCTTCACTAAACTGATCTACTAGAAAGAAATTCTCCCTTTTAAATGTTCTACTTTTACTTCTAATGCCGATGCGATGTTTCAGAAATGCCCTATTAGTTTTGTTTTATTAAAATTTTTGCTACACTCTTGTTTTATTTGTGAAAGTGCTTGTGCAACCGTTTTTAATTGGTGTTTATCCTTTGTACCCTGAAAAGACTGCCGATCATTCGTTTCTTTTAAGGAGGCATTATTTTCGGCGGGGAAGCTCATAAACGAGCCTTGGTAATTAGTGCTAAAGGATATAAGCTAAAGAAAGTGTAGCACTCTAATTACTTTCTTATTTCTTTTTTTAAACAAAGTTTTTATTTTTTACAACAAACATACAAAAAAACATAAAAGCATAAAACCCTCTTTCAATTATATACATACAGTGTGTCAGTTGGTTACAATCTTTTGTGCTAGCCTTTTTTTTTACCATTACTCACAAGTTGTATAAATTCTCACCTTATCAATCTAGCTTGTGCTTAAGTAATATCAATTATTAAACATTCATTTGACTAAACTATTTTTCCATCATTTTATACGAGATATTCTAATTTTCATTATGATTTAATCGTATACATTCATCCAATGGTTATATATTTTCTAATTACTTTCTTATTTAGCCAAATGGGAGGCGGAAGGATCCAGTTGGAAGGGGAAATCAAAACTGATGAAAACTATAAAAAAAAACCACAAGCCACTTACTTTGTAAAGAGGCTTCATTTTAGAAATGATTTCCCACCCCACCCACCTCTTGCTAATAATTTAATGTCAAAGTCGGTACGCTTGAGCTGTGTGTGAAATGAATCAATAAAATCAGGGGCATGAAATCAGAAAGCAGAGCTAAACCTGGTTTATACATTACATCGTTGATTGTTCCCTTGTTATCTTTTTTATCCCTGAAAGCTGCCCAGGGGGGCTGCAAACTCCAAAATCCCCATGCTGGCTGGGGAATTCTGGGCGTTGAAGTCCACAAGTCCTAAAGTGACAAAGGTGATACACAGCTTTGGACTGCGTGGTCCTTGTGGAATTGCACCATCCCAGCATTTCTGCAGGATCCGATCTGAGTTGGTCACCGGAACCAAAGGTTTATTAAGAGAGAGAAAATGAGATGAGATGAGATAACCTTTATTGCCACGTTGTTTTTTTCTGTGAATACACTGGCATATATTAAAAAAATGAAACTCTGATGCCCGCTCTCAAAAGAATATATGTGTGTATATGTGTGTATACACACACACACAAACGCACACACACACAAAACCCCATACCTGCACATAAAGGTAAGGTTCCCCTCCCACATCCGTGCTAGTTGTTTCCACCTCTAGAGGGCAGTGCTCATCTCCGTTACAAACCGAAGAACCAGCGCTGTCCGAAGACGTCTCCGTGGTCATGTGGCCGGCAGGACTAAATGCTGAAGGTGCACAGAAAGCTGTTACCTTCCCACCAAGGGGGTCCCTATTTTTCTACTTGTATTTTTTACATGCTTTTGAACTGCTAAGTTGGCAGAAGCTGGGACAAGGAACGGGGGCTCACTCTATCACGCGGCACTAGGGATTCGAACCGCCGACCTGCCAACCTTTCTGATCGACAAGCTCAGCGTCTTAGCCTTTGAGCCACCGTGTATACACATGCTATGTACATGTGTATACCTTCACATACATATACACTATAGATACATACACATACATGCACATACATATACATACACATGCATATACATACATCATACATAAATACATATGTACACACACAAACACACACACACACACACACACA